TGCTTTTTAATATTCTGTCTTTTATATATGTGTTTTTAATATATATGTGTTTTTAATATACTTGGAATCTTAAGTTTTAGAAAAAGTGTACAGACTTCATAGTGTGATGAGGTTGGAGCAAGACCATAGATATTGATATTTATTGAGAATCTTTCATTGTTGAGAACACTCCTCCCCCATGCTGTTGTTTTTTTAAACTGTTCATAAGAACCCTAAAATTCTTCAGGAGTGCCTCAGTCTTGCTTTCCGTCAGAATAGCTTTGTTTTGTTGGTTGGGATTATCTGAAGAATTCATCCATTTAATTATTAACCTAGTTATAAAGAGCTGAGGGTCTTGAATAAGACTTTATAAATTCATTTATCTGTTTTACCAAGATTGATTTTGGAACCTCGGGTAAGTTACTTCACCTCAGTGTACTTTATTTTCCTCATCTGTAAAATTGAGATAATAATAGTACTTACTTCATAAGGTCTTTGTGAGAATTGAATGAGACAATATACGCATATTTTCTAGAAAAGCAATTATTGTCCAAGTGCGTAACACTGTGCATGTATGTGGCTAAGTCTGTGTTCAGACTGGCAACTCTCTGCTGTCAAAGCTGGACCCTTATCACTGTTAGATCATAGTGTTAAATTGAGGAAATGAAAGGAATGAAGTGGGTTGAAGGATTGGGAGCAGAAGAAAACATTTAGTACCTTGCCTTCAAAGGGCAGGTCCTAAGCTCAGATAATAAATTCTATTTATGAAAGATCATGGAAGAAAGGTTGCTTCAGAAAGGAGGATTTTTACGTGTGTCTTCCACTGGTAAGGAATTCAGAATGTCACTAAAAAGTTTATTTCAGCTTGTTCTAGACTAGGGTTGTTTCATAAAGCCTAAAAAATAGATTGATTTTTTAAGAAACTTTTAGAAGTGCAGCTTTAGAGTGCCGCTATGAAAGTGCTGCACTTAGTATACCAACAAATTTGGAGAACTCAGCAGTGGCCACAGGACTGGAAAAGGTCAGTTTTCATTCCAATCCCAAAGAAAGGCAATGCCCAGCTACCCAAAGAATGCTCAGCCTCCACACAATTGCGCTCATCTCATATGCTAGAAAAGTAATGCTCAAAATTCTCCAAGCCAGGCTTCAGCAATATGTGAACCGTGAACTTCCAGATGTTCAAGCTGGTTTTAGAAAAGGCAGAGAAACCAGAGATCAAATTGCCAACATCCGTTGGATCATCAAAAAAGAAAGAGTGTTCCAGAAAAACATCTATTTCTGCCTTATTGACTGTGCCAAAGCCTTTGACTGTGTGGATCACAATAAATTGTGGAAAATTCTGAAAGAGATGGGAATACCAGACCACCTGACCTGCCTACTGAGAAATCTGTATGCAGGTCAGGAAGCAACAGTTAGAACTGGACATGGAACAGCAGACTGGTTCCAAGTAGGAAAAGGAATATGTCAAGGCTGTATATTGTCACCCTGCTTATTTAACTTATATGCAGAATACATCATGAGAAGCACTGAGCTGGATGAAGTGCAAGCTGGNATGACTACTGGAAAAACCATAGCCTTGACTAGACAGACCTTTGTTGGCAAAGAACACTGAGTGCTGAAGAATTGATGCTTTTGAATGGTGGTGTTGGAGAAGACTCTTGAGAGTCCCTTGGTCTGCAAGGAGATCCACCCAGTCCATCCTAAAGGAGATCAGTCCTGGGTGTTCATTGGAAGGACTGATGTTGAAGCTGAAACTCCAATACTTTGGCCACCTGATGTGAAGAACTAACTCATTTGAAAAGATCCTGATGCTGGGAAAGATTGAGGGCAGGAGGAGAAGGGGACGACAGAGGATGAGATGGTTGGATGGCATCACTGACTCAATGAAGATGAGTTTGAGTAAACTCTGGGAGTTGATGATGGACAGGGAGGACTGGCGTGCTGAGGTCCATGGGGTTGCGAAGAGTCTGACACATCTGAGCGACTGAACTGAAGAAACCTTTAAGGAAGGTGATCAAGTGATTAAAAATTCTTGTGAAAGTTAATAATGGAGTGAGAAACAGAATAGTTTTATGTAGTAATGAAATGTCTTAAAAGAGCCTGAGAACAGATAACAAATAATCATCATCAAATTATAAAAATATAGTGCTTGTTGGGCGGAGTGTGGAGATGATTACCGTTTTAATTTTGAGGGCTTTTTTTTTGTTTATTTTTCTTAACCAATGGATTAACTATATTATAACAACTTATTTTAAAGATGTGCTATGCAAACATAAGCCATGGCTTGTTATTCCTTTGGCTGTCTGAGTCCTAAAGGTCATTACTAAACCACTAAACTTCCTACATCTCCCACACTTTTAATGACACAAATCACAAAAGTAACTGAAGGTCTATCTAGGAAGGAAATATTTGAACAGACCGTTTAAAAAAGTATCTGAACAGTGATCATAGCTGTCAAACTGTTATCTGGTATTCTTATACATTAAATATATACTTAATGGAAGAGAAAGAAAGGATTTTAAGAAATTTTAAGCAATTAAAATTGAAGCTAATCCAGAAAATCAGTGGAAAAGATTGAAGCTACATCTTAGGAGTAAGGTTTGGATAAGTTGGCTATTTCTAAAGTGGAAGTGATAGGCTTACAACCTGTACCAGTAGAATTCTAAACCAGCCAGTGATACTCCTGTTCCTAAAGAGGTCATGTTAAGAGTCCTTAGATAGCTTCTACCCTCGGACAACCAACTTCCAAGATCAAAATTAGTGAAACATTCTTTGCATCAACATAGCTTCCAAAAATTGAAAATGAAGATTATATATAATAATTACATAAAATATATATTATATAATATACACATTAATCATAATGACATAATTAATATATAATTATAATTGCATATATATTATATGATCTTGGGATTCAAAACTAAACATAGGTTTTAATACCATCATGTCTGGCTTTCTGATTTTTTATCAGGTGAGCAGGAACTGAAAAACTAAATGACTTGACTGAAATTAATTAATTATTGTCAACTTTGATATAGTCATCTTGATCCCTTTAGTAGTTCTGCTTTCCACATAACATACTTTTATTATATGTTAATTTTTTTCTTTCTTACAGTAGCTAATTTTGCCATGGGTTTTCTTGACCTCTTATTCATGCAGATGTGGGAGTTTCTAAAAATTATTATGATGCTTGTGATTTCTCAAGAAGATGGGTCAACAGGTTTTCTTTTTGGTTTTGCTCATTTACTCATTGAATTTAGCATGTGTTGAAGGTGATGTAGCACATAAGTATAAAAAGAAGAGCTGTGAGATCATATTAACATTTTAATAAACATATGCTATTAATATAAGAGGTAGTAGTTATGTATACTCTTTTAATATATCCAGTTACTGGATAATCCCCAGAGAGATGATTTGTGAAGGATATTCTGAAATCTTTTAACAAATGACAGATTTCAAATTCTGTTTTCATACAGCCATGTGAGCCATAGTAAGAAATAAAACTCTGCCCCCCGTTTTCTTTCAAAGATAAAATTAATTCCAATAAACAAAATTCACTGTGAATTTTGCCAAAAAGAAGAGTGAAAGAACCATATTTCTCATTACGTTTTCTTAAATATGATTTTGGTCAGAGTATGGGCTTGGGATATAGTTTATGAGTATAGGATAATGCTTGAGTTTCATGTAATTAAAGTCTGAATCAAAGAGCCACAATTCTGACATTCATTTGTCTATTTCTTTTCTCATGTGTGACTCTGTCTCAGTTAGAATATTATCTTGATGGAGAAAAGTATTTGTAGTATGCTACTACTTTTATCTAAAAAGAGGATATATATGTATATGTCTCTGTGTTTATATGCATTCACATCCACACAGACACACACTTACCAGTTTAAAAAATAATGGAAGGGACTTCCCTGGTGGTATAGTGGCTGGGAATTTGCCTGCCAATGCAGAAAACCTGGGTTCAGCTCCTTGTCTGGGAAGATTGCACGTGCTGTGGCTCAACCAAGCCGTGCCTTGAGCCACAGCTATTGAGCCCGCCGCGCGCCACAACTGCTGAAGCCTGTGCGCTCAGAGCGCGTGCTCTGCAACAGGAGAGGCCAGCACAGTGAGACGCCTCTGCAGTGAAATTAGTGAATAGGCCCCACTCTCTGCAGCCAGAGAAAACCTGTATGTAACAACAGACCCAGCACAGTAAAAAATAATAATAATAATTGTTTAAAAAAGATTAAAAAAAAAAAGATTCGACGGGAGACCTCAAAGACATTTAAAAAACTAATGGAAGAATAAACTGTAAAATAAAAAATCCCAAATGTTAATTCTCCAAGGTGATTAAACCATTTTCACTCCTAATTCAATGTATGAGAGTTTCATTTGCTGCATCCCGATTCGGTGGTGTTAGTCTTTTTTATTTTAACTGGTCATGGGTGTGAAAGGGGGCTTCTCTGGTGGTTCAGTGGAAGAGAATCTGCCTGCTAATGCAGGAGACACAGGTTCAGTCCCTGGGTTGGGAAGATCCCCTGGAGGAGGAAGTGGCAACGCACCCCAGTATTCTTGCCTTGGAAATCCCGTGGACAGAGGATGCTGGCGGGCTACAGTCCATGTGGTTGGAAAAGAGTTGGAGTAATGAGTATGAGATGTTATCTTATTGTGATTTTAATTTTTATTAAATCATGTTGAGCCCTTTATGTGTACCTGTTTGTACTTGTATATATTCTCCTGTGATGTGTCTGTTTACTCTTTTGCCCACTGGAAGGGGGTTATTAGTCTTATTATTTTTGTTTTGTAGGAATTTGTGTATATTTTGAATGTATCTTCTTTGTTAGATGCGTAACTATCTTCTTGCTTCTTTTTAACAAAACAATAATGAAAAGATTTATATACAGAAGATATTGATACATTTAATATTTATAAACGTAATTTTTGAAGGAAATTAGAGTAATTAGTATATAAAATACAGACCTTATGTTTTAAACCTAAAACGAAAATTGATTCCATTCTGTTTTCGGTTTCAGGTGCAATTAAAAACTAGCATTTCTAGTCAGTATGTAATTCGGGCGCAACCAACTAATAGGTGCCTTTCAACACTGGAGTGTGCAGCTGTTGCTCTTTCTATCTTGGAGAAAAATAACTACATACAAGAGGTATGTCTTTGGAAAGTTACATAGTTTTTGAAAGTAGGTGTTCCATTAGATTTTTGTCTGGAATATTAAAAAATGCATCACTTGTTAAATTTGTAGCTCAAGTGACAAGTAGACTATATCTGTGACAGAAATGTGTGTATTTTTAAAACCCTCCTTTCTCCTCTGGTGTTTTTCTGTTAGTTTAGCATTCCAGATTGCATTATTTAAATATTCATTCTAGGCTGTGCAAACAGCATTTGTAGTATGCTAAATTGTTTTTAAGTAGCATAATTTTAAATACAGTTTTTTCTTGGCTAGATATTTCAGCATTCTGTATTTCTTAGTATTTGTGTTGTCTTGTACTCGACTTTTTTCTTTTTAATTAAAAGAACATTTTACAGCAACGTTTTTTCCATTGGTACTTTTATTTGAGGAGAAATATCAACTTTCTGTTTATCTTATTAACGTTGCTTGAAGTATAAAGAGATACAATTTTTTTGAAAAAAAGCCTACTGAATATGAAAAGGTTATAACCTGCAATCAGCATTTTATTTAATTTCCATGAAAGCCTGATGATTTCATATATAATTCATAATCTTTAGTAAATAATAACATTTTAGTAAGCTCACTCTCTCATTCTTTTAGAACATGTAAGAAACTTTGCACTTATGACAAGAAAAAAAAACCAAAATAAAACTGAATTGTTAGATTTTTTTAATTAGTGAAAATTTTTGATAAATTCAAACTCAAGAAGAAAAATCAGAGGATAATGAGCATAACTAAATGGAGTTTTGTAACTCCCTCTTCTCACACACACACACACACACACACACACACAACACGTACATACAGAATACTCTTTTCTGCCTTTTTCCTCTCTCTCTCATACCTCTTGATTTCTATTATAAAAGTGTGCCTTAGCCATGAAGGAAATACCAATAATGGATAAAAGCTCAAGTCAGAATTGCTGGATGGAAGACCTGCAGGGTGAGGAGAGTTAAAGAATGCTAGAAGAAGCATTGAATTGCCCTTTTCTTCTCTGCCACCCTAAGCCATGTCCTGTGTCAGGATTGGAGACTTTCTTCTTTTGGAAGAAGTAGGCTATCGTGAATAGATATTTTTGTGTGAATCTGTGTGAGTAGAGTTAATTTGGGGTCTTGACAATTTCTCTTTCTCTCCTTTGAGGAAAAAAATTCATGAGGGATCCTAAATCCTTCCTCCAATTGACCAGGGAGTATTCTCAGACCTTTTTCCCCCTCCCTTAACTTTATCACCTACTCCAATGTACCTTGCATCAGCAAAACACACTTAATAGTCCCCTGTACTTATCTGTTTATTATTATACTTATCTTTGTTTATTAACCATCATCTCTGTATGTTCTTAAGAAAATAACACTATACTTAGGTATCTTAAAGGAGAGATGAAACTCAAGACTGTTGTTTTAGCTTGTTTTTTGTACAGTCTCTGTATTTTCCTTTTTGTTGATGTAAAACCCTAGGATCAGCCAACATCAGACATCACTTCAGTCACTCAGTCAAGTCTGACTCTTTGCGACCCCACGAGCAGCAGCATGCCAGGCCTCCCTGTCCATCACCAACTCCCAGAGTTCACCCAAACTCATGTCCATTGAGTCAGTGATGCCATTCAACCATCTCATCCTCTGTCGTCTGCTTCTCCTCCCGCCCTCAATCTTTCCCATCATCAGGGTCTTTTCAAAGGAGTCAGCTGTCCGATCTTGATTCCAGCTTGTGCTTCATCCAGTCCACCATTTCACATGATGTATTCTGCATATAAATTTTATTTATTTATTTGCATATAAGTTTTAAATAAGCAGAGTGATAACATATAGCCTTGCTGTACTCCTTTCCCAGTTTGGAGCCAGTCTGTTGTTCCATGTCCAGTTCTAACTGTTACTTCTTGACCTGCATACAGATTTCTCAGGAGGCAGATAAGGTGGTCTGGTATTCTCAGTCCACCATTTCACATGATGTATTCTGCATATAAATTTTATTTATTTATTTGCATATAAGTTTTAAATAAGCAGAGTGATAACATACAGCCTTGCTGTACTCCTTTCCCAGTTTGGAGCCAGTCTGTTGTTCCATGTCCAGTTCTGTTACTTCTTGACCTGCATACAGATTTCTCAGGAGGCAGATAAGGTGGTCTGGTATTCTCATCTCCTTAAGAAGCCCCACCTTACAGAATGGGTCAAGCTGAACCTAAGGTCCCAAAGCAATAGTGAGGTCATTAAGTTGTCATTCTTTTTGCTTTGGTCACTTGGGGTAGTGGATAGTGACCAGGAGTAGAAAAAGGATGTTTGATAGTCAGGTATGTTATTGGGAGGTTCTGATAAGATGAACAGCAGGAGCATGAGCAGAAAAAAAGCATAATGAGACATCCCAAGTTGCTTATTATTGCATCTGACTGACAATTAGCTTTCTTAGTGGGATAACTCCAAGTCAGCCTGTTTAGATCTAGCTGCAATAAAAAAAAATTGGTGCATTCTTCTGAGAAACACAATTAACATCTGCTCGGAAATAGGTGTTTTCTTTCTTTCCGGGAAGGAAGGCTATAACATGCCTTGCCCCCCCCAGTAATCTTTTATTAGATATATCCTAATATAACCTTAAGATGATGAGGGGAGAAAAATTACTATTTTTCAGCTGGCTTCATTCTGTAGAAGTGGGGCTTCTTAAAATAAAGCACTTGGCATAGAATGGCTTTCTTAGTCTGTTGACTCATTCTTTTCCGTTATTCTTGAGCAGTTTTCAAACACTGGGAAATAACATGATACGAGTTTTGAAGCAAGTTTGAATTAGAACTTCATCACTTGTCGTCATCAGTTTTTACCAGAAGGCAATTCATGTAATCTCTTTGTGGCTGCTTTCTTATGTGTAATATACAAGAAGTAGTTCCCTCATTTTTATCAGAAGCATAACATAGGAATACTTTATGTTAAATGCCTGACACCAGACTCTGCAAGAAGATTTCATTGTTTTGCCTTTCCTTGTCTCTCATGTTCTTGTCTATAGATTGACAGAAAAATTGAATGGGAAGTTGGTGACTTTCTTTCTGCTATTGTAATATGTACGAGGATTTTTCATACCTTGGAATCCTTATGAGGTTTTATAACTAGATGGGGCAAGGCTTTGTGCTGTAGCCGAAATGCCTTAGTTCTACTCCATCACCAGAGAAGTTGGTAATAATGGTCTTTTGAAACTGTCACTTTGCATCTGTGGACAAGGGATTTACAGATCCCTGATTTTCCCCCAAATAAACTTTTAGAAATTAGGTAATTTTGTAACTAGAGGATTTTCTTTGTTCTTCTGAACAAGTAAACCTCTCATATAGCTTCACATTGCCTCAGATATAATATTATGAATGTATAGAGAAAAATGATCCTTTATATCAAGTTGTTTGCTAAGCACTTCAAATGTATCATTATAGCCCACCATAATAATAACAACCATGTAAGATGGACTTTACATCTTACATATTCCTCACTTTACAGATTAAGAAAGTGAGGCAAATAGAGATTACCCAATTTATCTGGAAACACATAGCTGGTGATTGCATCAGTACTTAAAACTCCAAAATGAGAATGGCATAATACACTCTCTGTACAGTGGGGTTGCCAGTGGGACCTCTACTAATAATAGTTAGTGATGCAGGCTAATAGATGCACCATCTAGACACATCGTTCTACTTTTATCAAGGAAGGAGTGAGAGGACGTGGGGAATCATTAACCACTTTTAAAGCATCTGTCCAGAGATGATGCACACTATTCATGCTTATATTTTGTTAACCATGTCACGTTATATGGCCATACCTAGCTTCAGAGGGGACTAGAAAAATGCAGTCTGATCATGTATCCTGAAAGAGAACTGGTGTATTTGTAAGCAGCTCTAGTGACTACCACAAATCTGTCTATCTCCAAAATTCGTTCTCTTAATTACTTCAGAGAATTGATAGAATCTTATCTTTGGGAAGTAAAAGTTGGAAGCCCTTATAGGAGTTAGAGGAGTATTATAGGAGCATTACTCTTCTATCATGAAGAATCTAGTAAATGTCATAGCATAGCAATAGAAACTTCAGTTGTCTTAGTCTGTATATGGTCCTGGATGTGTGTCTCTGATATGATGTTTCAGGATCCAGTCACTTCCTACGTTGACCCTTAAAGTAATATATAGTCATTTCTGTATTTCTTCTCTTGCTTGAAGAATTGAAGATACTAAAATTGTACGAACATACCAGAGATTTTCTACAGCAGTGTCAGAGCTTTTTCCAATATGTTTGTCTTTTTCTTATTGGTGTCAGTCGGGAGTTTCATTTGGTTGCATATAACAGAGGCCTTACTGCTGTGGTTGAACCATATATGGGCTTATTTTTTTCCTGTGAATCAGAAATGCTGAAGTGAGTAGTTCAGGGCTGGGGATGCAGCTGAAGAGGGCATCAGAGACCCAGATTTCTTCTCTTTCTGTTCATCATTGTATGTTTTTGCTTTAATCTTCATTTTTATTGCCCTGTAGTCACATAATGGTTATCTCACATCTAACAATCATGTTCCAGATATGAAGAAAAGGCAAAAGCCTATGATGCCTGCTAAGTCTGTCCTAATCCAAGGCCTTCCACTTATTTTGTTGGATACACTGTCACTAGTTAGTGTAATATTACTAGTTGGACACATTGCCACCTTGAATGAAGTTTTGGATTTTTTTGAAATAAGGAAGAAAAGAATGGATATGGAAGAGCAACTATCAGTGAGTGCCACATATTTGTAAGAATTCATTGTAAATTGAAACTTAAAAGCCCTTTGCTACCACTTATGTTGTACCTGTGAGGGAATACATTTTTACTTAGACATTGTGAAATTGTAGTTAAATCTATCTTTAGATTTAACTACCTAACTAAAAAGATCTATGTATCTTTTTATTTTTTCAAAACAATCTGCACAATCAGATTTGTTATTTATTTTTTTTTCCATTTATTTTTATTAGTTGGAGGCTAATTACTTTACATCATTACAGTAGTTTTTGTCATACATTGAAATTAATTAGCCATGGAGGTTTGTTATTTAAAAGAGTTAGATCAGGTATCTTAGGCCCAAGGAAAGAATCTGACTCAAATATGTTTAAAATGTTGGCTTAATTTTTTCATTTTTTCCTAACTTTTGAGTTTGAATAACTTCAAGGACCGTATGCTCCAGTTGTTTTACAACCTTCACTATTCTTGTGTTATCTTATGGGTCCATCTAGGTCACATGTTTGTGTTTTATGTCTGGCTCTATAGGTATTTGAGTTTAGACTGCTATATATACAGTTACAGTTATTTCAAATGCACCCAAACCTGAATATCTAACTGGTATGTGGGCCTTGGGTGGGCTTCCCCAGTGGCTCAGCGGTAAAGAATCCGCCTGCAATGCAGGAGACACAGAAATGCAGGTTTGATCCCTGGGTCGGGAAGATCCCCTGGAGGAGGAAATGGCAACCCATTCCAGTATACTTGTCTGCAAAATCGCATGGACAGAGGAGCCTGGAAGTGTCCATGGGTTGCAAAGAGTCGGACACGACTGAAGCAGCTGAGCATGCATATAGGCCATGGAGTATTGTAAGAGAATTAGTAAACTTATCCATTGCTGCCATCATCTAATTGTTATCAAGTAGCAGGAAGCTTGTGTTAGTCTGTGATTGAAACTGAATTAAACTAATTTGTACTGAAATGTCTCTTTTAGTCTGCTTGTTACAAACCAGTTATTATAATGGTACCAATTTTTGTACTGTTTGAATATATTAAAGTATAAAACTAAGTTTAAACTTTATCACCTATATAGAAAATTAGTATTTGTATCTTCTTACTGGAATTCCTTAGTGGTATGTATGGTATGAATTTATATGAATTATTCATTTAGAAATTATCATATATTTATTAGAGTATCTATTGCTTTTCATAATTAACAGCTGATAATAAAAATATAATAATCTCTGTTTCCAGAGAAAAAATTTATGATTTGTCGCACTTGTGTATGTTTTTTTTTGTCTTAACAGACTTTGCTTCGCCCTCTTCAGGCTTTATGCTCTTTCCAGCTTCAGCATGGTGCTCAAATTCGCCTCAGCAAGGAACATCTTCTGAAAAATGGATTATATCCTAAGCCAATGCCAAAGAACAAACGCAAACTCAGGAAAATGGAACTATTAATGAACAGCATTAAAATTTAGTACAGTTGTTCTTATGGTGCTAGTTATGATACCTGCAGCTGACAATACCAGGTTAACTTTTTTATACATTTTAAGTCTGTGGGTTTTGACTAAAGAATAAGAGTTACATACTAAACTTACCTAGAAGAAGTAATCCAAATAGCCATAAAAACAAGTTTCACTTACTCAATGAAAAGCAAGATTTATTTCATACTATACTGTTTTAAAAATGTACCTCTAATTTTTTTTCAGATCAATAATTTGAAATGTGATTAATTGTTGAGCTGGGTTAGAAGTTCTTATTTATAAAATGGAATGAAAAGAAAATGGTATGCCTGGTTGATTCAGTATTGTTTCTATGGGGGTTTATAGATAATTACATAGAGACCTATAATAGAGGATACCTATATCAAGTTACAGTCTTTTACATGAGCTTTATAGCTTGAAATAAGTAGCAAAAGAAAATAATAATCAAGTAATTTAGGTTGAATTTTTATTTCATAAAAAAGTATTTAGGAACTAAACTTGAATTCAGCTAATGTGATTTAAGTGTGCTATTAATTGCCCTAATTTTAAAAATTAAAGCATAATTAGAAAAGTACATTTGACTTATAACATTATATTATTTTTCAGGTGTGTAACATAATGATTTGGTATTTATATACATTGCAAAATGATCACTACAGTTAAGTCTGGTTAACATCTGTCACCATACATAGTTATAACAGATTTTTTTCTTGTGATGAGAAGTTTTAAAATTTACTCCATTAGCAACTTTAAACTATACAGTGTAGTATTACTAAGTATAGTCACCATGCTATATATTATATCCCCATGACTTAAAAAATGTACCTTTTTGACCTTCTTCACTCATTTCATTTCACCCTCACTTCCACTTCTGCCTCTGGAAAACACTAATCATGTTCTATTTATCTTAGAGCTTGTCTTTATATAAGCTTCCCCCCTCCCCAGATTCCACATATAAATGATATCATTTCTTTTTCTTACTTCACTTTACATAATGCCCAGAAGTCCATCATGTTGTTGGAGATGGCAAAATTTCATAATTTTTTATGGCTAAATACTTTTCCTTTATAGATCTACACATATTCCTATACATATATGTAGACATACATACATAGACATATGTATGTAGACATACATATATGTATACACAGACACACATAGACAAACACACACACATGCACATGTATATGTATCACATTTTCTTCATCCACTGATGATGAAGATGATCATTTCCTTATCTTGGCTATTGTAAATAATGCTGTAATGAACATAGAGATGCATATATCTTTTCAAGTTAGTGCTTTCTTCAGATAAATACCCAGAAGTGGAGTCACTGGATCATATGGTAATTCTCTCTTCAATTTTTGAGGAGCCTCCATGCTGTTTTCCATAGTGGCTGCATCAATTTATATTCCCACCAACATAGCACAAGGGTTCCCTTTTCTCTACATCCTTACTAGCATTTATTATTTATTGTCTTTTTGGTGATATGGCCATTCTAACAGATGTGAAGTGGTAGCTTTTTATTTGCATTTCCCTAATTGTTAGTGATGTTGAACATCGTCTCATGTACCTGTTGACCGTCTATATGTCTTCTTTGAAGAAAATGTCTGTTCAGATAATATGCCCATTTTTAAATTGGATTTTTTAATATTTAATTTTATTATTTATATATTTTAGGTATTAATCCAGTATTAGATATGTGACTTGCAGATATTTTTCCCTGTTTAAGTAGGATGCTTTTTCATTTTGTTGATGATTTCCTTTGCTGTGTAAAAGTTATTCAGTTTAATGTAGTCTCACTTGTTTATTTTTTGCTTTTATTGCCTGCCTTTGCTTTTGGTGTCAGATTTAAAAAAATCATTGCCAATACCTATGTCATAGATCTTATTGCTTATATTTTCTTCTAGGAGGTTTATGATTTCTGGTCTTACATTTTAAGTCATAATACATTTTGAGTTGATCTTTGTGTATAGTGTGAGATAGTGGTTCAGTTTCCTTTCTTTTGCATGTGACTGTATGTGGCTGTTTAGTTTTCTCAACAGCATTTATTGAAGAAAATTTCCACCCTTTATGGTAGACTAATTGGCCATATAAGTGGATTTATTTCTGGGTTCTCTATTTTGTTTCATTTATTTTGTGTCTGTATCATACTTTTTTGATTACTATAGCTTTATAATATATTTTGAAATCAGGGAGCATGATACCTCTAGCTTTGTTTTCTTTCTTAAGATTGTTTTGACTATTTAGAGCTTTTTTTGGTTTTATACACATTTTAGGATTATTTGTTCTATTTCTGTAAAAATGCCACTGGAATTTTGATAGATAAAGCACAAAATCTGTAGATTGTCTTGGATAGAGCCCTAATTTTTAACTAGGTGCATGTCATTCTGAAATAGCAAACATTTTCATCTTTATGCAATCTGGATAATTTTAGATTTCTCAGTATTCATTGAACAGATTTATTGACTGTGATACCCTACTGATATTGAAGTTTTCACATGGAAATAACTGTTGAATATAATACTATTATAATTTTGAGAACAAATTTAAATATTTTTAGTGGGCAAAAGCTTTCAATTTGAGAAAATAAATTTTCCTGTCCGCTTGGAAAAATATTTATGGGGATTTTTGTATAGAATAAGAGATGTATATGTAGTATATATGTATTTCTAACTCACATTTACTCCAGTTACGTACACATTTAGGCAAGAAGAGGGACCTTTGGTTTTTTTCTTTACTACTTCTAGAGTTTCCTGTATATACTTTGGAGTTGTAAAGAAAAACTAAACATTAGATTTAAAAGTAAGCTTTATATGTGCGCGCGCGCGCACACACACACACACACACACACACACACAATTTTTCTAGCATACAAAACTTTTTTAAGTCACTTATTCTCATTAAGCAGTTTTAAATAAATTTTAAAAACTATCATTATTAATATTTTTAGTTAGTAAAACTTTTCAAAATGTGTAGTATTATGTGAGGATTTAACAATCTGACTTTTAAAAGTTATTACTTTTTAAATTATATTAGTTGACTTTTAACTTCAGATGCTTTGTATTTGGTTGAGTTGCCTGGACTAGTTCCAGATTTTGTGGATTTGTAGCTGATAGAAGACTTTACATGTAGACTTTACACTTTGATGTAGGGTAGATTATTTTGTGAATTGTTATTTAAGCCTTGTAGTTAACTCAGAGAGTATTCATTTATATAAAGGTGACTGTGTGTTTCATCAGCCTGTTTGTGGTGGGTTAAAAAATCGCTGTGTATTTTGAGAATTTTATGTACATAAAGTGTTGGGGACTATAGTGTACAAAACAAGTCATAGCTCTTAGCAGCTTCCTGTAGCTTAGGTTATAAAATTTATTATATGAAACATGAGAGTTTTATTAAGAAAAATTATTTCCCCCCACTTTAAGACTCCAAACCAACTTTCCTTAGCTATAACCATTACAATCTTAGGGTCTTTTCCCTAAGATTTTGGAAGGAGGAAGCTCTTCACCACCACCATTGTTAGTGAAATATGTAGAAGGGCACTTCCATATGGCTTTCTACATCACATATCCCCTTCTTCATCACATATCCCCATTTACTGCCCTAAATTGGCTGTTTAAAAATATGATCATGTTAATAGAGAATCTTTTCCATTGAATGATACTGAATTTCAGGAAGGTAAATTGTTGATCATGGATACAACTTCTTTGGTGTAGAAGTAAACGTTATTGATTCTGTAAGGAAAACATTAATTTTGACTTAGTAAACTTAAAAGTTTTATATAACTGGATTTTTACTATGTAGAGTTATTCCTTAAAAATAGATATGAGTTTTTAATAGATAAATTTTTGTAGATAATTGGATGTTTTTATAGATTAGTAATACTATGCATTTTTTTTTTTTAGCAATAATGTGTTTTAGATGTAATGGAACTTTGATTGTTTATAGCATAGAATAAACCACTGCCTTTTAATTCCTGTAGCGGTTTTGATAGATTATAATAGATTAAAATTTGTGCAGGAAATCAGTGATCCCTGACTTACTCTATGCTGATGACTTGGCTCCCTTAGTTTATTAAAAAAGCATACTAGAGAAACAAATAATTGTTCATTAGTCTTTAATAATTGTTCACTTGAACTAACAACATAAGAATTATTTTCTAAAGAAATTTTATAGTGTAAGGGATTAAAAACACTAAAATAGATATTCTTTGAAGAAGAGATTATAATTTACTGTTACTTAAGAATATACTGTTGGAGAAGGAAGTGGCAACCCACTCCAGTGTTCTTGCCTGGAAAATCCCAGGGACGGAGGAGCCTGGTGGGCTGCTGTCTATGGGGTCGCACAGAGTCAGACACGACTGAAGTGACTTAGCAGCAAGAATGTACTGAGGAATTCAGACATTTTTAAAAGTACATCTGTCTCAGGATTATTTTCATCACAGATGAACTCTTCATTAATTTTGTATGCTAAAAGTATTTATCCATTTCTGTCTCCAGGTATGTTATTTGCAAGGTGAAAATCTCTTATTACATTTTTTGCATATATTTAATTTTATGGGAAACATAATTGATGTGAAAAAGGCAATAACTTACAATGTGAAAAAATCAGATTTTATAAATATAATTGCATATTCTTAAGCTTTATTAAATAATTTTATTTTTAAAATTGCATCTTTCTTAATATAGTCAATGAAGAAACAGTTAAAAATATACGTGAAAAACCGTGATTTTGAATCTAAAATGTAAGCTTGCCTTTTCACATCTCTGGATTATCTGCAATTATAGAAATGAAACTAGTATTTTAACATACATTTAATAGTATTGTTTACTAACTCTTAGAACTTTTGCAAATTCAAATGCTATGGGGCAATGACAGATACTTTCACCCATGATGGGTAGTCTTTTTTTTTTTGGGTAGTCTTTTATAAAAGAAAAATATCCATCTAGTGAATAAAGTAAAAATAAAAATGAATGGAAACAGTATCTTTCAGGCAAAATATATTAATAAATTAGCTATTCCTTTAATTTATAAAGGGTTCATTCAGTAAGTTAAAGTGGGAAAAGTGGATTATGATGTTACTTTTTGATTTTTTAATTTGTGCTAATTGATTTCATTACTTTTCAGAGTATTGGTCTTCATTTTAGCTTAACATTTATTAATGTTTACTTTTACAGGGTATAATAATAGTTTTTATTTAGAACTTAACATTTGTAATTTATAATATCCAATATTCAGTAGATTAATATAACATTAATTTCCATTTTAAAAGAAATCATTAAATTACTAATGACTTAATGCTTCTATTAATTTTTGTTGGTAAGTTATTTGAATTATTTTTAAAATTGAAATTGTTATTATGTTTTATTTTTATGGTGATTATCAATAGCATTATTATTAAAATATCTTGAATGATTAATTTGAAATATTAGTATATGAATTTTTCCTAGTATTTTTGCATCAAAGAACAAAATGTTAGGCAATATACCTCTCCATGCATCTA